AGAGATGCGTATATATACATCAATCCATGTACATGTATATGTAAATATACAATTTATATGTACATCGAATACACATACGTATATATAAATATATAAAATACATATATACATACATATATTATGCATCAGAAGTCACAACGATCATGCATGAACGATACGGCCGTGCGAGTGCTGCGAACCGGCAAGAGGCTGCATAGGTGCGGCTTGAAGATAGCCACGTGACAACGAAGTCTTTGGAGATATTCAGGGTAGCTCCACCATGGCGGCGCTCACCATCAGTTCCAGCTTGAAGATAACCCGAGCAGTTTTTCAGATTAAAATTATGACTTAGTCGTGGGAAACCTCGCTTAATGCACTGCATGCTAACTGAAGTCAGAAAATATCAACCGCATTTTTCCTTCAGCCCATTTGCTGAATAGTCCCCGACAACTTCAATGAAGACATAAAAAAACAGCAATGGTAAATGATTTGAGAGAAGCCAACACCAGCACTCTGAAGAACTAATGACCGACCATGAACGAGTCAATCACCATCAGGCGGGACTCCAGCATGTCATCCACCAACGGGGGGGGGGGGGGGCTCGAGTATGCCTCCTGGACCCGCCCAATCCATGCCGCCTTTCGCAGCCTAGCGGGTCCCGCCAGGGATCCATCCGGAACCCGTTAGGACCCGTTACAGCCCAGACCAGCCAATCCGGTATTCGTGCCTATCTCGAGCAGTTGGCGACAGGCTCTGGGAATATTAATGAAATTCGGGGTCAGTCGACCGGCTGTCAGGAGGCCTGCTCCGGCCGCGAGTGGGCCAAAATAGCCAAGAATACGTCAAAATACGCCAAGAATTCAGCTTTCGTCCGAATCTGGCACACTTTTTTCTCAAAGTTGGGGAAAATGAAGGCTAGGCTGGGGAAAGAGGAGGGCACTGAAGCCTGCCCCCTCCCCCCATTTAAATAGGGAATTACGCCGCCGATATATATGACCGATCGGGGTGAGGTCATAAAGGAGTGAGTCATATAGAGGTGAGGGGTGAGTCAGCAGATGGCCGGATGACAAAGCGTTCAGTCGGAGGAGTCGGCGCTCCACGAAAGGGGGCGCAACGACGCGCGTCGCGTTCTCCTGACAAACTGATCTCCGGACTGACATAGTTGGAGACTTTGGCTGAGGCTCGGTGGAGACGGCGGTGGGTCGCTGAAGGAGTGTGAGTTGCAGGAGCTCTGAGAGACTCAGTCCGGGAAGCTCAGTGAAGCTTTGGAAAGCTCTGGGAGGCTCTTAGTCTGGGAATCTCTCGGAGACTGTCAGTCTGGGAAGCCCTGAGAAGCTCTCAGTTCGGGAAGCTTTGGAAACCTCTGGGAAGCTGTGGGAGGCTCTCATCTGGGAAACTCTGGGAAGCTCTGGGAGACTCTTGGAAGCTCTGGGAAGCTCTGGGAGGCTCTGAGTTTGAGCCCTGCCAGACCAAACATCTCGAAAAATCACCTGAGTTTCCAGTTATGCCTGAGCTGGCGGGATGCATGTTTTTCGCAAGGTGGCAGGCACCACAGCCTCGGCGGTACGACGGGCCTGTAGGTACGATACCCTTCTAGGCATCACAGAAACTCCTTCCACTCTCCCCGTTCCATTTTCATCCTCCATGTTCAGCGGAACAATGCGTAGAGTTTGCCGTGTGCTCCGAACTAAACCAGCTCATTTTCCAGGGAACATGCGAGCCCCGTCATACAAGGTCTCGGCACACTTGAGCTCTACTCGCGGTGTTTGTTTCCATGGCCGAACGTTAGTGTTCGCGACAGCGCAGTCAGCTGACAGCGCAGTCAGCTGACTAGGCGGTGATGCATGTCAGGCGGAAGTTATTTGGTAGCGTTGCCACGTCGACGGCGGGAAGCGGACCCCTGTTCAGGCTCGCGAGTTAGGAGGGCATGGAACGGCTGGCCGGAATTTCGGCCAATCTCGCGGACTGGCGTCCGACACGAGAGGTGGCACCGCGAGGTTCTGTGGGTCGACCGCGAGAACCGCTTCGTGAGCGCCGTCTATTTGGGATTGGAAAAGCTGCAACGAGGAGCGGTAAGCTGAGTCTTTGACATCTTGATGTGGGGAGTTTCATGGCATGTTGACGGCAAATGGTCACGAAGCCATCTTCATGTGAGTATTAGCCGCTACCTGGGTGTGGGCCGCGGACCCGCAATGCCAAGTTTCATGATGCGTGGCGCTACCATCCGGTTTGACCTCTGCAAACAAATTTAACCTGGTCAGACCACAAAGCCCAAGTCAGAGCGCTGTCATGACAGCATAGACTAATGCCGTTATGGGTGCACATAATTGGAGGACACATGGGATCGTGTATCTACCCCCGCTAATACAGGCCATAGACATCGACGAAAACGTACGAGAGGTACAATACGGCGCCTAACCTTGCAACGTTCACGACAGCACACAAACACGGAGGATTCGCAGGTCTAAAAAAAAAAAACGCAAGGGAAGCAATAATAATGACGGAAAGCCATTTTTCCCCAGAAGACCTCTATGACGACTGCCATCAGGGATCCCTTAGGGTGGAGGCTCCTCCCCACAAAAGTTATGTGAGCATGTCCATTATAAATATACCATTTTTGTTTTGCCCCTAACATCATCTTAAAATTTGTCGCCCTGTTGAGCTCCATTGATCAATCACAAGGTGCAAATACAGTTCTAGATCATTCATAGCGATTTTTTGCCTCAGTCGCCTTATGTTAAGAATTACATTAAAGATGGCGCAACGTTTCCAGTGATTCTCGTCAGTCAAGCAGCATGAATTCGATTTGGCGACTGAAAAGAAGTTTTCGTTTGGGACCGGAGTATGAGTTTCAAGGATCTGATTAATGTTTTGACCATCGATTTTGCAACGTTCACAGGCACTTGAGCAAGACTGTGAATGTAATTGAAAAATTACCTTGTGAATGGGTTGACACTTCTTATCAAAGCACGTGTTCTCACCGAGAAACAATGTGGATATAACCGTACCCAGCCCTTTGCTCCGAATCGATCGATTTCCGCAACACAAATTATTCGGCCAGTCTCTGCAAGGAGGTTATAATGATTCCGACACGTCATTGAAGATATAAAGTGACGTTGTAGAGTGTCATGCATAGAGCGCACGAGAGCATCAAGGACGTGTGCATGATTCATTAACGAAATTAGTCGCAAAGGTGATTTCGTGGTGCTTTCCGGAATGCTGGAAATTTGTCACACATGCTTCGTACTCATGCTTCTCGTACAACCCATACGCCAAGGCGCCGCCCGATATCTAAAAACAAGCCAACAACTGCCCACAGCCTGTCAGCAGGCACGCACCAGCTGCTCACAACACATGGCATGTAAGCCACGTGCACACTGCCCGCTTGAGGTTACACCTGCCTTTCCGTCCCCCCACACGACTTCCAGATGCAGCTCACCGCGGCATGGCCCGCGAGCGGGACTCTCTCGCGCGCTCGCTCGCAAGTCTCGCGAGTGAGATCCTCGCGCGCGCTCGCAAGTCTCGCGAGTGAGGCTCTCGCTCGCGCGCGCTTACAAGTCTCGCGAGCAAGACTCTCACGCGCGATCGCAAT